AATATATTTTATTGTGCTTCTCAACTTCTCTGAGAAGTCCTAACCACAGGCAAATACAGAAAGGAAAGGCCAAAATAGGGAGAAAATCCAAATAAAATGAATTAAAATGGGAAAACTGTATGATACGTTATTATTTCCAAAAAATAAATCTGCCTTACAAGCTAAAGTGGTAAGCAATAACAAAGACCTGATGACAAGAGGTATCCCAACGTATATTTTAGTCCATACGAATTAAAGTTTAAATAGTTATTTGATGTCTTTTTACAACAGTTTTAGCATATACAACTAAAATAAATGTGAAATTTTTTATTAGGAAAAATCTCAGAAAATAAAATTTTAGTTTTAAAAATAGTTTCATCCCCCAATTCTAAATGGCTTTACATTAAAAGCTGGTCTTATAAATCATACCAATGTTTTCTTAGGTCAGTCTCCCAAGGCAATAGAAATAAAAGCAAAAATAAACAAATGGGACCTAATAAACTTACAAGCTTTTACACAGCAAAGGAAACCATAAGAAAAAAAAAAAAAGAAAGAAAGAAAAGAAAAGACAACCTACGGAATGGGAGAAAATATTCGCAAATGATGAGACCAACAAGGGCTTAATCTCTAAAATATACAAACGGCTCATACAACTCAACAACAAAAAAACAAACAACCCAATCGAAAAATGGGCAGAAGGGGACTTCCCTGGCAGTCCAGTGGTTGAGACTTCACCTTCTAATGCAGGGAGTACGGGTTTGATCCCTGGTCAGGGAGCTACAATTCCCACATGCCTCGTGGGCAAAAAACAAAACATAAAACAGAAGCAATATTGTAGCAAATTCAATAAAGACTTTAAAAAATGGTCCACATCAAAAAAATCTTTTTTAAAAAAAGAAAAATGGGCAGAAAACCTTAATACAGGGGTCCCCAACCCCCCGGCCGCGGACAACTACAGGTCCGTGGCCTGTTAGGAACGGGGCCACACAGCAGAAGGTGAGCAGCAGGCAAGTGAGCGAAGCTTCATATGCCGCTAACCATCACTCACATTACCGCCTGAACCATCATATCCCACTGCACCCCCCACCCCAGTGGAAAAACTGTCTTCCATGAAACCGGTCCCTGGTGCCAAAAAGGTTGGGGACCACTGCCTTAATAGACATTCCTCCAAAGAAGACATACAGATGGCCAGTAGGCACATGAAAAGATGCTCAACATCACTAATCATTAGAGAAATGCAAATCAAAACTACAGTGAGGTACCACACCTCACACCAGTCAGAATGGCCATCATCAAAAAGTCTACAAATAACACATGCTAGAGAGGGTGTGGAGAAAAGGGAACCCTCCTACACTGTCGGTGGGAATGTAAGTTGGTGCAGCCATTGTGGAAAATAGTATGGAGGTTCCTCAGAAAACTAAAAATCGAATTACCATATGATCCAGCAATCCCACTCCTGGGCATATACCCAGAGAAAACTATAATTCAAAAAGATACATGCACCCCTATGTTCATAGCAGCACTACTCACAATAGCCAAGACATGGAAACAACCTAAATGTCCACTGACGGATGACTGGATAAAGAAGATGTGGTACATATACACAATGGAATACTACTTACTCAGCCATAAAAAAGAATGAAATAGGGCTTCCCTGGTGGCGCAGTGGTTGAGAGTCCACCTGCCGATGCAGGGGACACGGGTTCATGCCCCAGTCTGGGAAGATCCC